TCACTAACACTTGCCTCTTTCCTAAAAAGCTCTCTTTCCAATATCTTTGGTTTTCACATTACTTCTCTCACATACTTTTTCTTGATCACTAATTCCTTATTCCTCCTTTAACCTCTGTAGTCATTTGAGCGAATAGCAGAAGCCCTTGACTCCGCTTAATCAGCTCACTGAATCAGGGAAGGATCTTTCCTCTCTGTAAATCAGCCCCTCCGGTGCCGCACGTTAGACCTGAAGATTTCTGGCACATAAACTAATCCCTTATTGGCCTGTGCATGCCTACTGAGCTGTATGCATAGTAGTGTGTTTCAAAAACTGTTTATGCAATTGTGCTTGCTATTTAATTAAATACTATGTAAACTAATGAAATATGAGAGTGAAAAAAATAGTTGTTTCTATCAAAATTAAGATGAATGCTTTGGAAAAGCTCCATAATGGCTGGTAGCCTGAAGAAAATTGTAGTCAAAGTAGATGAAAAACAAGGACAAGAAAAAAAAAAACCCTTCAAATGTAGATGTATTTACAAGGAGTTACTTTATCATGCAAATGTCTTTAAGTTCTTATATGTGGAGAGAGTGAAGGTTCCTATGACCAGGATTCTCACCTGACCCTGGCTGGCTTACTCACTAGGCACATGTGGGCAATATGTTACTGACTCTATATTGAGAGCTCCACTCACTGCTCTGGGCTGCACAGCTGCAGGAGAGCAGAGGCTGGAGTGGCAGCAGTTACAAAGCAACAAGACCAGCCTGTGTGTCAGAGTCCAGCTTGTCTTGTGTTGACCCGCGACTGTAGCAAATTTTTTCAGTATCATTGAAGCCATAGAGAACTTGTTTAGGGCTGATGTCGGCAGGATTCATTGTAGACTGAAGAATGAAACAGGCTGCCCTCATGGGAGGAGTGTTTCAGCAGGCTGCCCCTATGGGGAGGGAGACCCTTGAGGTCTCCCAGTGGACGTGTGGTCCGAGGTGTCTTGTCTCCTACAGGACTGGGCTCCACCCCAAGACTGGGAAGGGGTAGAGGCAACACCTGAGGCAGTAAAGTTGGCCCTCAGCAAATGCGGAATTCCTTAAAGAAACAGAGTGCCCATGAGTCTGTGGGAATTGTGGGATGTTTTTTTCTCACAATATCGAGAAAGGATATAAGGGAGAAAGGTGCCCTGCTGCAGGAAGCATGAGAAGAGGCAGCATGAGAATGAGAGCTGTGAGGGGCCGTAAAGGAGGTAAAAAATTTGCTGGTGGCTGAAATGGCATCATTACGAGGTGCTGAGGAAATGGTAAAGGATGTAATGGTAGCACAAGAAGATGCAGCATGAGAATGCAGGCTGCCAGGGGCTGTGGGGCAGGGGAAAGATGCAGTGGTGTCATCAGCCCCAGAAATGGAGGAGTGGAGGTTTGATGAACAGGTGGGGGTGGAGGCCCTGCCGGTGCCCGCGGCATCAGACCTTATACTGTGTGACTTAAATGGGATCATCAACCCCACCTGGCTGAAAGCTGGTGGAAAGCCCAAAAGAAAATAAAGACTCAGCAACCGTGGGTTCGTCCAGGAAAGGTGCAGCCCCCTCCCCAGGTCATGGAGCACTCTGTGCTCCGCTGCTATCCTCAGGCTCAAGCAATGAAAGCACAGGAGGAAATATGGTCCGCTACTCAAAGGAAGAATTTAAACGGCCCCATGAAGGTCATGAGGACCCAGATGTGGGTTGATTTGATAAAGGCAAGAGCAGACAGAAAGAAATTGTATGGAAAGTCAAACAGACTCTTACCTGTGGCAACAATTGAAACATGAGCAGTGGTTCCAGCTGCTGAGGAAAAGGAAGCAGAAGCCAGAGACAAAGCAGCAAGATCAGCCTGTGTGTCTGCAAGACTTTCTGCTGGAGAGGCTGGAGAAGGTGAGTATTATAAGGTCCACCCATGGTCCTTTTGGTTAACTCATCAGAATAGAACTGGTTTGAATGCAGCTGGGATGATCACTTGGTAGCATTGTATATTGTTGTACCTTCTGTTGTTATTGTGTAATTTGATTGCAATGTTCCAGCTTTCTCACACAGGGACATTTGTAGAAGATTGAGGGCACATAGATTGAGAGGCGAGAATACTGGAGGGGTGGAGTGTGGAGAAAGTGAAGGTTTCTATGGCCAGGATTCTCACCTGGTCCTGGTCAGCTTGCTCTCTACACATGTTGGCAGTAGGTTATTACTGACTCCGTATAAAGATCTCTGCCAGTGCTCTGGGATGCATGGCTGCAGAAGAGTAGACTGGAGAGGTGGCAGCACCGAGGACAGAGACTGAGACGGCTGTGGGGGCAGAGAGGCCCAGAGGCAGAGTTGGGTTTGCTGCATGCAGACTTGCTCTGAGTGGATGGGATTCTAGTGCTTGACTTGCCATCGTGGGAATAAAGTTGGGTATAAACCCTTTCACCCCAAGAACGTTCCACTGTCATTTTTTTTTCAGTCTCATTGAATCCATAGTGAACTTGTCTGGGGCTGAAACCCACCGGCAAGACACAGTATCACTCAAGAAGCTAAAAAATACTCTATGGCTTAAGAGAGAAAGCTGAGCTCCAACCAACAACACATCCACACAGGAAGTGAAGGCCTTGACCCCACATCAAAAGAGAATTAAAGAAAAGTATGTTTATATGTTTTAAGGTGTCTGTGCATCACTTTTATCTTCCCCCACTTTATTGACTCTACTGATTAACCTGTCCCAATTGCCTAAGAGGCTTCCTTCTCTAGTTTGCATCATGAGGCCCCCTTCTTTCTTTTCTCTGCTCTCTCCTTGCAAAACTTAATTTCCTAATTTCTGATCAGAGCTTTAATTTCACCTTTAAACAAGTAAGTACAAAATCTGCAAGGTGCATGAAGAGAAAGTTGGTGGTTCATTCATACCCCACCTTCCACTTCCCCCACTGCATTGTGCCTTGCACAAATGAACTACTTTTAAAAACTGTTGAGATTTGAAGTATAATGAAAACATTCATCCATAAATTATAACCCAAGAGTTAGAAATCTGGCTTAAAAAGTATATTGTAAGAAAATGCCTTTGTTTTCAAGACATAACATATCCTTTTCAATAATTGAAGGAAAGATGCTCAATTAAATAATTACAATTGGAAATTTATCATTTTAAATTGGGTAGCTGAAGTTATTTTTTTTAACCAATTGTAGTTTTCCAGAAATGTACAAATTAAGGTGGACAATGACAACAAATACTACTACAGCATTTAGTTTTATATAAACGAAGTCTGAAGTTTAGTTTGAATTTTGTGGGTTTGCTCTCTCAGAAGCAATTTTCTCTGAGCTAGGCAGGACAGAAATGATTGTCCCTTCCCTTTCATACATGACTGAATTAAGGCCCTAACAGTTACTTACTCTTGACCTTATAGAGTGTGATTTAAATGGGATTTATACCCTGTATAAGGCATCTTGAGTCACCTTGTTAAGATTCCTAAGCCCCTTTACAATTGGGCAGGAAAAATCAGGAACCATATAGTGAAAAGTTAAGCCCCAATTATCCTTCATCTAACCAGGCTGTCTAGGATTATGTCATTAGAGTTCAGTCCTTTGGTTTAACACATTTTCCCACAAAATTCTTGAGAGGAATAAAAAGTTAATAACTCATTCTTTAATACTTCCTATTAGCAATATATCCAGTTTGCTTTCCTTTGATTAAGTGGTTAACTGAAGAAAAGAAAAGGACAGTAATGGGCATTTTGGGGAAGGATTGTTTTAGGTTAGCGTACTTTGTCTTCAAGAAAGGTACAATGTATATGTGTGTGGGTGGGTGGTGGGGAGTAAAGGGTGTAGTTGTAGTCAGACAAAGAATCTGGGCAATGAGAGGGGGTTACTAGAATGTTGGATGCCAGGATTCAAAGAGTTGAACTAGAGAATAAAATGAGGAGCGAGTAACTCAAGACAAATGTTTCTATTTCACAATTTTAATTTGAGCTGAACTTAATGCTAAGGTAATCTGATTCTTATTTTTTATTTGAAAGTTTGCTCTACTTTATTTCTAGGTGAAAACATTGATAGTCCCGTTGTTTTGACTCAAAATGTGCCTGGAAACATAAAGAATGTTTATGAAGCAGATTATGATTTCCCTTAGGAACAGTTCTGAAATTGAATGTTGGTTCTGACCCAAGATTTCCAAGACTTAGCACTGGATATATCATACATATGACTAGCCATGTCTCATGACAATTAAGAAATTACTATAAATACCTATCATATAACAGTAAAATTATAATACTGAATCTATAAAATGGTCATGGATAAACCAAGCATGTCTTTTATACATAGGAATCCAATAAATTATACATTTCTGGGGAAACATTAAAAATGTCATGTTACATTGGCCACTGATCTTTTCCATGGTTTTTCTGCTCTGGAATCTCAACTTACTGAAGGCAGTGAACTCATAAAAAGCTGCCTGAACAGGCCAATGGAAAATCTGGGAAGTTTGCTTTACTTCTGAGTCTCACATATGGTCTCTTCCCATTCATTCTAATATTCTATGAATTGAACTATTTTCTAAAATTAAAATGCTAACTATAATAAACATTAAGCAACAATTTCAAAATGATTTTTTGTGTTACCTTAGAATTTGGAGGACTTCAGGTTTTGCTAGATGGTCCTGTTTTAGAAGGTTGTTAAAGTTTGAAATGATAGTTCCTTTTTTCTTAGTCTAGCTATCCATCATTCCCTCCATTAAAAATAAAGTTTCTGTTATCAAAAAGCATTTTACAAATAAGGGCTATTATTCATCTACTTTCTCCTTTACTCCAACTCCTTAAATAGTCAAATTTACCAAGTTGGCAGTTTACAGATAGACCGAAGCAAGGCCCCAAGACATACTGAGTGAAGTTCAGTTGCTATTCTGTGTTTAGTTCCAGCCCTACCTCTTACTTTGTGAATGTGCTAACAATTACCACCAGGTCATTAGTAAAATCTCCTGAAAAAGGAGTTTTAAAACATCTGTCACAGAGTCCTGTGCAAAACAGAATACCTTGAATGTAGCTTTCTTTACTTCTCAAAATAGGCCAGGTATAGGTGGCAAACAGCAAAGCCTGTGTGTTACTAGGTGACAGCAAATGGATGAAGTGGCAAAAAGACAGGTATAACGAGTGGAGTTTTCTGCAAAGGGAAAAGGATAGTTATTTCAGCAATTTTCATATGTAAAGGTTAAAACTATGGTTTATTAATGCTAAAACACCATTTAAAATTGTATTTATTTCTTTACTGAGCTATAACTGACATACAATACTATATTTTCATGTATGCATGATTCAATATACGTATTTATTGAGAAATGATGACCACAGCTAAGTCTAGTTAACATTCATCACCTCACAGTTACATGCTTTTTAAAAAATTTATTTAACATTCATCACCTTTTGTAGGTGTTGATTTCTCTTCTAATTTAAAAAATATTGAATTCTATTTGTAATAAATAGCTTTAAATGAAAAATTTCACAGAGAATGGAAATTATTTTCTCTAATATCTTAAGCATTATTAATTAAAATAATCTATTTTTACAAATTAGACACTGGTTTTATCCCTTGACTACATTTTTCTTGCCTTCTCCTGTTTTGAAAATGAACACATTTTATTAAAATGACAAATTGACTAAAACTGGACAGAAAGCTAAGACTCCCAAATGTTACCTTAGCCCTTCTCAAATGTTAAGATCTTGAATCTCTATAAGTTAATTTCTTCCTGCCCTAGAAATGAAATATTAAACTGGTGAAATTCTTCAGGATTTACAATTTTAAAAATTATACACTGTATATACATAGAATATGGAAGAAATTATGTACTATTTTTAAATGATAAACAAAAATATAATAGAACTAACAACAAACCTAGCAAGACCAGTATAAATAGTTCATCTATTACAAGCTCTACCCAGAGGCAAGTTATGTAAATTGAATTTATAGGCTCTGGATAGCTTCCCCAAAGTTGGCCTTTCCATAGCCCTATATTGATATTTTCAAGAAACTATCAGCATACTTCACCTTGGAAAAGTAATATCATAAAGATACTGCCATTAGTGATTTTATATACTTTTACACACCCTTCTTGAATTTGAAATAATGGGTAAGTTCAGGTAATAATTTTTGTTCTCTTTCAAACTTTATGACTAAAATATTGAGTTGTGTTTTATGGCCTACAGTTATTACAGAATGTAGCCAGCTAGCAGCTTTAGGCAAAGAACACCTTTGGAGTCTGGAATCAGATACAAAAAATCAGAGACTTAAAATGAGTAATCATGTATTCCAGAAGCATAAGAATTTTCCAAAGATTCTGAAATACAGTTAAATACTGTGTAATATATAAAGCAACAATTTTCTAACCCTCTGTACAATTTCTTTTTCTTTTGCAGCTAGAATAATTTTCCATTCAAGTATGCGCCAAGATTGTTGCTATAAAACTTCATATCCTCCAGAGCAGTTTTGGTAGGTTTTATGGAGGAAGACCTTGTTTAGCAAAGTGTACACTGACAGTGTAAAATAATTTTTAGTTATGAGGAATTCTAATAAGGTTATAAGAATTATCCAGTCTCAATTTCTAGGTCAAAATGAAAGAGGGAAATTTAGTTAGTGGTAAATTCAATATGAAGCAGGGATATATAATATTTACACAACAGAACAAAACTACAACTTCTTCAGATCTTTTCTTCTTAAATTAGGTTCTCATTTTAATAGACCAGATACAATTTAATATAACTTGCTTAAATATAATGAGAAACTGGCTTCTACAAGAGAAAGGGATGGAAAGAGCAGAGTTCTGACCTACACGTAATCCTGCTGAGCTCCTATCTGCGTGACCTAGAAGGTCCTCGAGCTAACAGTCACTTTGACAGGTTTTGGTTTCTTTATGTAAACCTGATACTTAATCTGGCTATGGTAAGTGAAATGGAGTCATTGAAAATGAAAGCATTTTGAAAGCTATATTAAATTATTATTTATTAGGGAAAATTCATGGTGGTATAGATATATCATAGGTTGATAAATTACAGCTTTTAGCAGCCTCTAACTTTGGAGTCCACCTAAAAAAATTCTGTACCAGGGATATTCTGCCTTTATGTTGTACTTGGCTAAATGGATCTACCCTCATTTTGAGTATTCACTGGCCATTATTGATAGTGATGATTAAGATCTGGTTAGAATATTAGAAAAATTATGCAGTATGTAATAAATTCCACAATGTTATTGAGGCATTTGAGAAATAATTTACTTTCTTATTTAGAATTCAGGTCAAAGGCAGAAACAAAATTATCATTTATGCATAACCCAAATTTTTGCCCCAAGTTGTACTTGTACAACTCAAGTACACTGAAAGAACAAATGCACTATGTATTTTCTTTTAAGAGCTTTGTGGTTATTACCTTCGTTTTACTCGTTTTTTACACAGGTAACATTTGTTGGCCTTTACAATGTAATTTAGCTACATAACTGATGTATTTTGCCATCAATAAAACAACTACATATAACAAAATGAAGGCATACTCATCTCAGTCTGTAGAACTTGTTTTTAAATTATTCTATTTGGAGCCAAGGGGGGAAAACATGAGATCATTCTTTCCCCTCTGCCAAAGGCAATCTGCTTTCCCCAATCCACGAGGACAGCTGAGCAGTTAAGTCTAGCGTGGTAGCGTGCTTGAGTCTCCCGACTCCTGTCCTGCCATGTGTGGGCGCACACGCATCCACGTTCGTACACTGGATGGGACAAGACTCAGTTGGCAAGGCATCTCCTGCTGACTACGCACATTGTGCTGACGAAGTAGCTGTTAGGTGGGTCGGCCTCATCGGCCTACTGAATAGGGTAAGAAAGAACCGGTACGAGGAAGGGTGTATGCAGTTCTCGGATCCACTCTCTCCCAGTTGTCTCACTGTACTCTTCTCTCCACGTGCGTTCCGAGCGGTGGATCACACGCTCAGACTCACACACACGTGCGGCGCACCGTTACCTCGCCCAGTCGCAGGCCAGGACCTCAACCTCCCCGCCCCTCGCTCTGCCCCTCTTTCCAGCCACCCTCACTCCACGTGGGCGCACCCGGGCACAACCGAGCAGCTCACGGGCCCCACCGGTGGGAGGGAAGGCGCGGTCCTGGGGTCGGACGGACAAAGCGGGTGTCCAATCGAGTCCGGCACTGCCTCCCCGAAGGGAGGGAGGGGCGGCTCGGACGGGCCCAATGAGCAGGGAGCCCGAGTGGGACTTCCTCCCGGAATCCCGTTGGCCAGAATAGTGGGGCTGTGGGTGACACGTAAGTTGGGTGGGAGGTGGCGGCGGCGGCCGGGGCTCGGCGGCCGCGTCAGTGACACCGGCCCGTCGTCCCGCAAACGCAACCAGGGCAGCCGGCACCCAGCCATCCACCCGCGCCGGCGGCCTCGCGCGGAGGCGCGAGCTGGAGCCCGGGTCCCTTTGTTGGGCACGCAACCCCTCCTTTTGGTGGCCACAGAGTCGCGCGGTGGGAGCCGCTGCGAGAGGCGGGGAGTGGCCGGGGCGGGACTCCGAGCTCCGCCGGGGGCAGCCGAGCCAAAAAGTGGGGAGGAGGAAAAAAGGCAGGCGGCGTCTGGGGGCGGCACGAGGACCGCCCGCTCGGAAGTATGCGGAGGGCCCCCTCCCGGGCCCGGGCACTCGCGGAGAGTCAGCCTTGCAAAAGTTTGGCGGAGGCTGCCCAGGCGGCGTCGATGGCTGCGAGCCCCGCGGCGCGCGGGGGCTGAGCGGGCGCCACTTCCCCTCCAGCCCGGCTTTTGTGTCTCGCGTCTCCTCTTCATGCGGCGTCCGGCCACCTCCCGCGGCGGCCCTTGCTGAGGCGCTCGCTCGGGCAGAGGGGAGGACGGGGGGCGACCGCGGCGCGGGGTCCCGGCGGGACTATGGGAAACGGGATGTGCTCCCGAAAGCAGAAGCGGATCTTCCAGACGCTGCTGCTGCTGACCGTGGTGTTCGGCTTTCTCTACGGCGCGATGCTCTACTACGAGCTGCAGACCCAGTTGCGGAAAGCCGAGGCGGTGGCGCTCAAGTACCAGCAGCACCAGGAGTCCCTTTCCGCCCAGTTACAAGGTAGGGTTAACCAGGCGCGCGCGGCTGGTGGCCAACTTTGCGCCGCGCCTCCCATCCCGGCTGGAAAAGTGTTTTTGGTGAGCATTTGACACTAAGGGTGCCACTTCTGACCTTCAGGAACACAGGAGGCGAGCTCTGTGGGGCTGCCGGGCCCTCGGACTGTCAGGGAAGATGACATCCCCATCTTCCTGCTTCCTCTGGCGGTTACGTTTGAAATTGGAAGCGCCAGCCTGTGGTCGCACCGGGCGTTGGATGGGTGGGTGCACACTGAGTCCTTTACCCCAGCGCTTGTCAAAGGCCCAGCTGCCATCCTGGCTGGCAAACCAGTAGCCCTTTCATCGCTTCTGCCAGCCCGTCTCTGAGGGACATGGTTTCCTGGTTTCTGGGTATTTGCTTTCCATTTGACTTTGTCAGTAGCCTAAGAAATGGGGAGTTTGGCAGAGATTTCTCAAACTGCGCTGTTTTTTAAAGGAAATTAAGTCATGACCCAGCAGCCCAAATTAATGGCCCAATCGAATGGGAAACTTGGTAGTTTCTGTTAATAGGGGGACTTTTGAGATGTTGCATTTATTGGAAAAGTCCATGCTACACCTGTTCACCATTCTGCAGGTATGTTTTTTTGGGGGGAAAGAAAGGGTCTGTTTTACTGAGTAACTTTTAGTTTATCACAGAGGTAGGGCTGTGCATGTGTCTATTTTGCAATTAGCCTTGAGAAGTCCAAGAGGAGAAACAGTTTTTCACTTTGCCAGACAACAGCACACACAACTTGAGCAAGACCTGCAGAAAAACTTGAAGCTCCTCCTCTTCTATTTTAGGATCTCATCTAATGTAAATTTCGGAAACATAAATGATTTGTGGCTGCAAAGTAAGCATCATGTGGTCCCGTTAAGAGCATAGTCATTGTATACATATTTTTTGAAAGCTTGTACTTGTGGTTAGTTTTCAACACTTATGTGGGTCTCTTCCCAACCAAAACAATAATAAAAAGGTGTGAATAGTGAAATATTGACAGTGTTTGGTAATAATGCAAATATAGATTGCTTTATGTTACGAGGAAGATCCAACTGGAGAGAAGTTTCTGTCAGTGTATGCATAGACAAATATAAAACAGATGCCTTTTCCATGCTTTAGCTATTTTGAGTGTTTTCTAGTAAAAAAAATTAAGATGAGAGAAAATGATACACAGTTGATTGCTTAGTCTTATTTGCTCTTCCGAACTTAAAAGAAAGGAAAATATTTTTAGCTTACTGAAGCTACATAGCCATGGGCAGTGAAAATATGTGAGTTGGGCTTGGTTCAAAAGGAAAACCTGTTTTGATACAGTCTTAGGTTGAAAAGTTACTTTAGACTTGTTGAAGTTTATCCATGAATTATTGTTGCTATGTGAAATATTGATACTTATTTACTTATTTCCTTAGAAGATAACAGTGGCTTTCCTGTGAAGTTCAGTGCAGTTAGACCAAGGGAAAAATCTGCTATTTTATGGTATAATCACAGAACTGGATTTTCACCCATGTGTCTGGAAGGAATATGTGTGGTGGATTACCAGAGGTTGAAGCCTTGGTCTCTTAGTTGAGGAGGCTCATGAAAGTAGGCGCTGTCATGTTTATCAGTACATCCGCAGCACTGCACAGTGCCTGACTTTCATGAAAGATCAATACATATTTATTCAAA